ATATCCGGTACCTAATAGTAAAACGGAGCTTGCACTGTGTTATACGTCTGTGCTAAACTAAGGAGCTATTTCCTCGTAGAGCCAATCGACCGCATGGGCACCGGAAACCCTCTTCAATTTAGAAAGAGAGAGCCCTCTGCACGCATTCCGTGGTTCCCGAGAAACTCCCGACTGATCAAGCAGCACGAGCAGAATACTGGTGCCAAGGTTTATGACCCGATGACAAATATCAGATACTAAAGCAGGGATTCAGGCCACCACGTGGAAGTGTCACAGACTCACAGAAGATCGGCATTATCATGATTAAGTAAAACTGAATGGTAGTAACTTATATGCATCATCAATTCACATTTTACCCAAAAGTCGGGCCATCTTTTCGAAACCACCCTTCCTGCTGTACTATACCCCTCTCATTGCTTTATTCATCCTAACCGCATTCAGACGTAATGGACGGAAAGTGGAGCACTTATGCACTCGGAGTCGCGTTCTTGGTAACTGCTGTTTGCTACTGGATGGAACACCAACTGGTTCAGTAAGACTCGGCTCAGGGATGGCGGCCATTCAGAGGCGTTGGAAAGAGAAGGGAGATGTATTTGGTGGTCGGTGTGTCAGTAAAGGGGAACGCTATCCAAACAAGTCCTCGAGGCCTTTGCGCGCTGGAACGGAGAAGCCGGGTCCTTTTCAATAGTCGGTCGCTTCTTTTGCTAGGATGGGAGAACGTGAACACTGAACAGAAAGAAGCAATTAATGGTATGCCACAGGTGCTTCGAAAAATGACTCCGCCTATATGATGTACGTGGGCGGAAGTGGTGTAGTGGCAAGTGGCACGCTTACCACGCGAGCGGTCTAGGGATCAAATCCTGGTTCGTAAAAACACTGAATTGTCGGCTGGCCCCCGCAAGTCATTGTATAGGCCACATCGCATTCAAACGCCACTACGAATGTACAAATGGAAGTAGAATGCGTGCCGCATCCCAAAAAGGGATTGATCAACGGCAAATGCTTTATCCTTTATCCTTTTATATGATGAACGTGCAATGTGTTTTCAGGTGACTATGGCAGTTTCATTTGCCTCGTTTTCGTGCGCGCGCAAGATAACACGTTTAGAGATCACGTAGCGTGTTCTTTGTCAAGTGGTATTCAAAGCACGCCGTTAGAGATGCACAATTTCATGTTTATCATTAAGGATATCGATTAACATAGCACTAGCGCTCGTGCAGAGGTTTCTGGTAACGTATTTATTTAAATTTCTGGTAACGTATTTATCGCCATTGTGAAAGGTGTCCTCCCCATCAATTTGAGTTAGCAAGTGGTGAGATGTGGATATTCCCGCTATACCACCTACCCAGCCCAGCTACCTCGACCCAATAGCGAAACATTGCCTTCTGGATGACCTTATTATCAACATTTATTCCCATATTCATTCAATACACGGAACGAGCAGCATTATGACGATCGTACTCTTTGTTGAGACCAGAAACGGACTGGTGATTCCCAAAAACTGATACAGAAATATTGTCTCTCTGCTGACGTCTTTGACAGCGAAATGAAATTGACTATGTCATTGCGAAGCTCCCCATTGAACATCAATAGAGATAGTGGTGGAATGCTGACCATGATGTCGTTTATCCAGAAGTACTAAAAAAACATGGAGCTGAACGGGTTCTTACCTGATGCTGATATGCAACATTTGATACACATACATACATATTATTATTTAGTGCCAGCAAAACACAAAATGATTGGTAAGAAGATCTAAGGTCGAATGTGATGTTCATGTCAGAAGACATTTGCGTCCCACTACCTTCCTTAAAAGTGATCACGAGCAAACCATTTAATCGGATAGGGAGTTTGTGTCGGCACAATGGTACGTAAAAACAGGTCCAAGGACGATAAATCTGTTCGAGAATTCGACCTCAATTCATTTTTCTGATAGTTTTCACGAACGTCCTCCTTCTTTTATGTTAGAAGTAAAACTTGACAAGTTAGATCAAAAAGGCCTCTGCAATAGGCAAGCCTCTCTCGCCATGGAAAGTTTTTTAGTGTAGACAGCAGCTCTCAAAAGCAGCTTAAACGGAAAATGGATGATGAGTTTATATCCACGCTTTGAATAAATGTGAGCACTCTCCAAAACCGTCATATCCTTTGCTTTCCTATCCTGTTCTTTTTCCGTAAATCAATCCCATATTAAAGATACAATCCAAAAACGATTCGCGGGCAAAAACCACCCATAATGAAAATGTAGGTAAGATTTTGACCAATAATGAAAGAAAAGTAAAAAAAAAACGTCGAACAGGGACTTAGACAGGGACTCCCCTTCTGCCGCTTAGCATGGGAAGACTGTTGGACGAGTTGTCTGAACCTGCCCGCAGTAAATGCGCTCCATTTACAATTGCTAGGCAAATAGCCTACAATGACTGGCTACCTATCAGTAATTGCAATTGGGGCGCAATAGTAAAAATCGTTTCATGTTTTCAAGTTAGAAGGTAGAAGGGAAAAATATGGAGATCCGGACTAGTCGGCATCACCGCATTGGTTGCTTCAAAGGACCGAGTTCAAATAATCCCTGTGGTCCCAAAACAGGTCACGAGTGCCTTCCGCAGCCAATCACGGCTGGCAAGAAGAATTTCCAACCACACCCCCCTTTCAAGGAACTTGACGCCCTTCATGCGGCTTTCAGAGGTGATTTCTGTTAACATTACACTTCATATGTTCTCCACTAGGGCTACTGCATCCTTCAATCCCAATAGGATTGAAAGCTACAGACCCTGCTTAGGACTTTTGCTTCAAAAGTGGATTACACATCCACACTCAAATCGAACCACAACAAAATCATATTGGCCTACTTTCAGATAGCGGAGAGAGGATCGAGTACACCTGAATTATCTCCCATGTCATCGTGCTAGCTACTTCTAGTTTGTTTCCCTACGTCCCAGCTATGGTCCAAATGAATTCACAAAAACACAGAACCTATGTTATACTATAAAGTAGGAGGGTGCAGAAAAAGTCCCATTGCTCATACCGCAAATCATCAAACTTTTCGTCATATAGAGTGCAGTTGCTGTTGGAAGTTTTACAATAACATTTGTTGGTATCGCTCATAAGACGAAGCAGGCCTTCCTTCACCGCTTTCACTGTCCTCAAAATATGACACCCTCATCCATCACCGTCGAGCTCGAGAAGGCTCACTGCAATCGGTGCTCAACACTTCTGTGGAAAAACTCGAAGGCTGCAAGCCCCGGGATTAGTCCAAATAGCAGGAAGCCTTCATAGGTCATGCCAGCCTGTCGACGAAAGTGCATATCCATAAGGGCCTGCTACCCTCAGTGCAGCGCTCTCCACCCACCGCGATTGATGTAGAGAACAGCGTGCTCTCTCGAACCGTGTGCTTCATCGCGTGTTTTGTCTTCTATGATCGCCCCTCGCCTCGTAGCAATCCGACATTGCTGAATGTCAAGGCCTCAATCATAGCCTATACGAAGGCTTGTCTTGCTTTCCTTTCCTTCTCAGTTGATTCCGCGCCTCAGTCATCACTAAGAAGCGCTCTTATACACCAGTTTTATTCCGAGACTTGATCTTGGTGGGAGATACGTAAGCTAAAAACTAGCTCATCAAAAGTGGATGAACCAGATGTGATTGTGGGATTATTGGGCGAAAAGTCTCCCAGTCGAGCACAAAAAGGTGGACATTACACAAACTCAGATAAGCTTGGACGACATGGTGTGGGTGAACGCAAGTTGTGGTATTCGACTGAATTAGAAAAAGAGTTGTGTCAACCATCGGGTAGTTCCGATGCTTTGTGGTGGTGCTGGTGCTCTTAATTACATCATGATCCGCAGGATACAAATGAATGATCTATACGACGAAAAATTACCGGTAATCTGGAAGAAGTGTGGCGAGTGCAGGTGGGTGGGAAGCGTTCGAGGCCCGTAAGGATTAGCGCCCTAACCGCGCATTTTCGCGACCAAGTTGGAGTGATCTAGGTAGGTACGGACCTTACAATTTCCCTCGCGGTATCCTTCCTACTAGTCGGGCTAATCCCGGGGTTTGTCCTTCAACACCTCCTTAACAATTTGCGTCCTACGTAGAAACTGTCCCTATTGAAAAGATCATCACCTCCTCCTCAAAGTGGCTAGATACCTCAGTAACAGATGGTGCACCGAAATGTCCCTTGGCTCGGTCTAGTATCAAGTTGTATTCCTTTGTAAACAGGCAGTGATGGTGAGCGACCGGTAGTTGAGACCCCGTCCAGACCATGATAAGGTTCGGCTGCTGCTTGTGGCGAATATTCCTTTCACTCTCACTGACTTCCTCAAGACCTCATGCGGGCATCCTCGGAGTTTGAAGATTGTAGCTCCGCTCCATGTGAGGAATTTTGTCGTCGATGAAAACGGTGCCGCGTAATCGCCATTTTCGGCCCTCGACACCAGCTCTTTGAACTTTTTGTCTCTGCTGTGCTCCTCCCGTTGGATTGAGCAGTGGTGCTTATGCAACTTATAATGGACTGTGAGCAGTTGTTATCCGACCACTCTCTACATGGCTGTGTTAGAAACTCCAGCGTTCTGGTCACCTTTCTCGAGCCAACCCGGGTATTGCAGTCGTTTCGCTTCTTCATGCTTTTCCTGAGATCCAAGATGTCAGAACTTGTGGGGCCACAACAAAGACTACTTTTTGGTCTTCTCTTTAGTACACGGTAGGCCGCGGAGCGGTTGAAAATCCAAAGAAGCGCGATGCTCATCACCGGATGTCCGACCTAGCTGTGTGAGAGGTTAGGCACTCTGTTGAAGTTTAGGCGCACCATGAGATGCAGGCCGAACGGTAAGCCGTGGAATTTGGCATGGTCATTGACAAGAGGATAGAGGATTGAAAGGTCTGCCAATCTCGGAAGAAAGCTGTAAACCTTACAGAATTTGAGCTCAAAATTTGGTGCAATATTTATGGGAAACTCTGTATATTATATAACCGACCTGCACATAATGAACATAGCGAGTGCGGTATTCTCAGCGAAAGTGGCAATCCCTTTCAAGATTTGCTGAGTGCACATCAACGTAGTGAACGAAAAAACAAGCATAGTGTAAAGCGCCATGCCCTGAAAACATTTATGTACCAAATCGTTGATGAGTAGATCTTACACATTGATAAGCAAATCGCATTCAAGTGCACGTCACCGCCACCAGAATACAACGTTTGTGTATAGTACTGACAGTTATTAACTAGATAATAGCATGGACTTACAAGGGAGGTCTTTCAGGACATGGAGCGCTTTTTCGAAATGGTTTTCTGCATGTTGTAGGGGCTCATGCGAGGAACACAGAACCATGATCCATTTTTCCTGAACGCCTCCAGGAATGTCAAAACATTGGTGAAGAAATGGTCCGAGTTCGATCCCCGGTGATGACTTTTTGCAATATAGTTTGGCGGCCCCAGATTGCGGCCAAATGGCTCCATCGTCGAGAATAGATGTAATTGTCGTGTTTTGCGGCATTTTGGAGGCCCAAGATAAATTGCAAAAAATTTGCCGCGACGGGGGGTCGAACTTTGGACCATTTCTTTTTCCCTGTTTTGAGACTCCTAGGGGCGTTCAGGAAAAATGGACCATGGTTTTGTGTTCCACACAGAGAAATCTTAGAAAAACTAGGGAACCATTTTGAAAAAACGCTCCATGTCCTGAAGACCCTCCTTCTCTGTCAGCCTATTCGAAGGACGGGATTTGACAGATGAAAAGACACTCCATTGTTAATGGAGGAAATCCTGCCCGGGAGAGTCACGATTCTATCAGCTGCCCCCCTAACCCATTGCTATTGAGAACGAAAAGAGAACGAAAAATTGCGTTTGTTTTACTGAACAATTTGGAAAACGGGAAGGTCTGTTACACGTTCAACTTCCTGCCGAATGTCTGCCGCAATTATGCAAAAGTAACTCCACTTGAATTTCGGAGCGTCTCCACTGGGAACATTTTTGTTCTTTCGACTTACTGCACTATCGCACACTTTTGCATGCAACCATATTCTCATGTACTTCATTCTCTGAGATTTGACACACCGATTAGATAATTCAAGGCATTGCGATTGGGCGTTCGTGCGCCTACCTCGGAACCGCCCATTAGAAATAAGTTTTTTTTTCGGTTAATTTCTCTGGCGAAAAGCGAATCTTCTCGCGATGAAAACTTTCGTGATGTTGTCGCTGCTCAGCTATAAATCGATGTACCGGCAAACAATGCTAAGACGATTTCCGGGGGAGGTTACGATTGACTTTTAAGACAGCCGTCGTATGCAACGCAGCGACCAAATGATTAGATAGCAGTGGGAGCTGAATGTTGAACGAACAACGAGAGTCGCATCAATGCGGAAATCAGCGGGCACGGAAGAGGTCCTATTTCTCGGGTTCAACCCTCCCACATGGTTCTCTGTTCATCCCTGCTCCACTGACCACCTCTACCCTTGTTTCCAGTGAGCTGTCTTTTCATCGTCAAATAGGACTTTAATAGCTTCTTTAGAGGCTCTTTCCTAATCAGCCTATGGAGAACCATGCGTTCTACTTGTGGCATTACTAAAATCAGGCCTCTTTACCTTTTCGTGTCGTGAATGTCTTCCAAAACGGCTCATTCTTCAATAGTTTGCGCAGCTCAATCATCAATCTGACGTTTAAAATAAGGCTAACTATAGCGTACAGTAGAGAGGCTCCAACGTAAGTGCATCTGTTATCTGAAAAGATTTATCCCCCACCCCCCCCCCCCCCCCCCCCCCCCCCCCCCCCCCCCCCCCCCCCCCCCCCCCCCCCCCCCCGACCGCAGCCCAACTCTTCCACTCATGTCATCTTACACGGAAAACCTTAGGTAAAGACGTCTGCGCTCTTGCTACGATCCTTTTATGAACTGACCATATCGCTACGTCTGTCCAATCCCATCGACGTATAGGTTCCGTCTTCAATTTGGATGAATTGAAATTCTGCTCCAAATAGTGGAGTTGAAGCAGAAAACGCAAAAGCGATATGTAATACAGTCACGATTCGCACGTTTCTCCGCGACCAAATCTAGATGGAATGAGCAGATATGAGAGACGTGTTTGATTGGGTGCATTATTGCCTTTTCAAATCGTTGATAAATAAAAGATGTTAATTATATTTATAAAAGTAACTTGGAAATGTGTGGACATTAGTTGAAGGCAATCACGAGTATGTACATGAACACGTTACTTCTTTTTAATCCTGCAAATCTATCATATATGGGTATCTGACGCCACCCATTGCTTTGTAACACGAGTCATCGCAAATGTTCTTCGGCAACTCCCTTCTTCGGAAAAGCACTTCAGGTGTTTTTCAAGAGTTCAATTCATTCGAGAAACTTTAATTGTCGTGGATAACATGTTTGGATAACACTCTTGAAAACTGCGTTTCCTCAATGGTGAAGTTTTCACGACTTGCGACCTACTTCGCTGAATTCAGCATGATCAGAAACAATACTTTTTTGCAGGACGTATTATGAGCTATTATGAGATAGTACTAGTAAGGTCCATGATGAAGTGCTGGTAAGGCATTTCAAAATATTTCTGAAAGATAGTGCTTCCTATTTCAACCGTGTGAAGGCAGCTAGAGCAGGAAAACTACGGAGAAGAATTAGATCGTTTTCTTTTCGTCCTTTTTCTGTTAGCTCACTTAGAAATCTGCGAAACTCCATGTGGCATACAATTATGTTGATGCTAAGCCACCGAGCAGATCGGTTGCCGTGGATGGCAAAGATGTCATGAATTAAGATGAAAGTTTGCACCGGACTTCATTCAGGACAAAGCATAGAAACCAAGACCTCGACGGTCGCTGTATTCCCCTATAAACAAGTTGAGTGCCAGTGTACATCGCTGCTGCACACACTATCAGTTAAGCCACCGAATTTCTCTCGGCTGAAAACCAGTGACACTTTTCTGAGATGGTTCTCTTAGCTGTTTTGCATCCGGCGCGCCACCCTTGAGCTAACTTTCATCGGAGAAGCAACGCAAAATCTTCAAAACACAATCTAGCCACATACTGAAGATGGCTCGTTTTTCTGAAGCACTTGATGAATACCCGTCTGCTCTAATGTTCGTCCGACCCAATTCGAGGAGAGCTGTTTGGCGCTGAAGCCTTCATCTTAGACTCTCGCACAATGTGACGGATATGACGTACTGCGTGTGATACACGTGATCATTCATGTTATCTCTATAAGAAACTGAATCACTCTGGAAACTGCAAATACAGCCTAGAAAAAGCCTTGGCCAGTTTGAACAGCTGAAGCATGAAGCACGAACTAGCTCCCAGACAAGAACTTGAATAGGCCATAACTGGGTACTCTGTTATCACTGAGCATGGTAATAGAATCCTCTATTTTA